GCAGCTGTACACATTGTAACTCGTATTTTTGTGTGAAGGAAGAGCAATCGAATAATACTCGTGCAGCAGTACGAAGTAAAATTCAGGAGTTTTTAAAGCGCGGTGGTGAAGCTGACACAATGCAGAAAACATTTCTGCTGCTTGTAGAGCCTTACATCACCCAACAAAATGAGAGTCATGACAGTGCTGGATGTGAGCTGCTGCTGCAGCGTTTGTTCCACTTAAAAAACAAAACAAAACAAACAAAAAAACCCCACAGAACAAAAAAACCACCCCCCATCCCAACTCAAAACTACACACTCCTCTCCTATGTTCAGTTCCCCCGCACGCCCCACTGTCCTCCTCCCCCCAAATAAGCCAAATGCATGATAAGGTAATGGAAAACTGTGTGAGTAGTACAGTTGTGTGCCTAGTTGTATAAAACTGCTCTCCAGGATCACAGCTGAAGATGCTGAGATCTGCAACAAGAGAGTACAGAATTTACACCTCCTTTATATCTTCTGCTCCAATCCTGCAAAGCTAACTAAATTCATAGTGTGTTCAGGTTGAGCATAGTATTTTTATTCTTACGGGGGCAGACAGACTTCTTTATCTAGCACTGTGGGCTATCATCTTTTTTAGTGAGTGTTAATTTTTGCTCTTTAAATTATTCCTTTGATCTCATTTTACAGGCTTCTGGAGTAACAGTGAATGATGAAGTCATAAAGGTTTTTAATGACATGAAAGTAAGGAAATCTTCAACCCCAGAAGAGATTAAAAAAAGAAAGAAAGCCGTTCTCTTCTGCTTAAGTGATGACAAAAAACAAATTATTGTAGAGGAGTCAAAGCAGATATTGGTTGGTGACATTGGAGATACTGTGGAGGACCCCTATACAGCCTTTGTGAAGTTGCTACCTTTGAATGATTGCCGATACGCTTTGTATGATGCCACATATGAGACAAAGGAATCTAAGAAAGAAGACCTGGTATTTATATTCTGGTGTGTAAAAGCAAAGCTTGCTGTTAAAATTGAATATTCTGCAGTTAACACTGGATGACTGAATAACTGTTTTGTTGTGGTTTCCTTCTTTCCTTTAAAGGGCTCCTGAAAGTGCACCTTTAAAAAGTAAGATGATCTACGCAAGCTCTAAAGATGCCATTAAAAAGAAATTTACAGGTACAGAGCTAAAAATGTTTCACTCATTAATTATAATGCTGTTTAGATGTCGAGGTTCTCACAAGTACGTTGTTGTCCGTCTGTCTTTCAGGTATTAAACATGAGTGGCAAGTAAATGGTTTGGATGATATTAAGGACCGTTCAACACTTGGAGAGAAATTGGGAGGCAACGTGGTAGTTTCACTTGAAGGAAAACCCTTATAAAAAGACAGACAAGTGCCATCTGGATCTAAGGAGCTTCCATTTCTGCAGCTCGTTCAATTGGAATAGTATTAGTCTCCCCGTCCCCTTCCCTCCTCAAAAAATAAGTCCCTTCCCTAATGCCCCTGAAGGAGATGTCATTGTTAAGCAGTCTACCAGTGATTGCCATTAGACTGTTTAATCCTGGTAGTTTTATGTAGGATCCAAGGAATGCTTTCACGTCATACTCTTAGCCAAAACTGACGTTGCAGGCATTCCTTGCAACATGTACAATGAATGTGATAGTTAATGTGAATAGTCTAGCAGGCAGCAAAGGGTAAGCTAAAGGAATGCCTTGAAAGTATTGTCCACTGGTCGGATGGTAGACTCTATACAGTATTACTTACAGTTGCACTTGATTGCAGTTCCATGAGGCTCTTGTGCATTCATACACCTCACCTGCCTTGACAAGCCTATTTTTGTGACATGGCAGCACACAACACTATGCATTTAAAGCACTTTTTTGTAATATGTTTGACCCGCCCCCCCCCCCAAAGGAATGCCAATTAAGTTGCTGTAACTGTGTCATCAAATTCTTGTAGTACCTCAGTTTCATTCCTGTTACATGCATATCTTTATAAATGAAGTAGCTGTTATGATGCCTTTTGTTTTCCATTGAATGTACACTACTGAACAGGAGTAGAAGTTATCTGTTTACCATGTGAGTCTTGAAACACTAAAGTTTTGTAAAACATCAGTCATGGTGGCAATTTCTGTATTAAAAAGAGCCTTAAGTGGAACATTGTTTTTTGAGATCAAAAACTGGCCACGTTGCAATAAAACTTGTGGCATATTACAGAACGTTGCCTTGTTTTCATTGGAAAATATAGTTTTTAAGTATGTTTAATTTAAGCATATTTCAAATAACTTAACTTCTGTCAAAAGTATTGTAAAGATAAGCAATCGTTAATCTCATCTTAAATAATGCAAGTTTTTCATTCCTAATCATGATTTAGGCACTGCTTTACAATACTTTGTGGCTCTGTTCTGATCATTCAGTAAAGGACCTGATCCTAGTTTACTGTTAAAGTAAAGAAGCTACCACTACTAGAGACCATGAGTTCCATGAAACACTTGTGTCAGAAACGTAAAAATACGAAGTAATTAACCACGCAGTGTGTTTCGTACCTGAATGTTCTTAAAGTTCTACATGTCAGAGTAAAACCTTGCACGAAATCTTACAGCTCGCCATCTTTTTCAATAAGATGGTGTGTAATGACAGTTATGTGATATGCAAATATGAATCTGGTAAATAATTTTTGTTTCTTGAGTGTTACAGTTAAGACGCACTTGGTACAAGAAATAGCCTAAATGAACCGTTCTACTTGTTAGCTTCTATGTGAATAGAACTGGAAAGTGTTTGCCACTATGGAGGCTTGCACTGGGGACATGTTTTGGCTGGGATCCAAATAATGCTCTCCTTATAGAGAATTTGATCTGCTCTGTGTGAGCAATCCTCCGTTAGCCAGAGCTATTTATGGCAAACACATGCTTTTGTATCTTGTCATCGTTATCCACAAATGGCAAAACTGGACATGATTCTCCTGGTATGCATAAAGGAGCGCTGTTAGGCAGCCACTCGCAGCTGAACTGTACATGCTGCTAGAAGGAATGCTCTTTTATCATTACCTTATTTTAAAAAGTAGGTAGAGTAGAACTGTGGAGCTTTTAAATACGGGCCCTTTGTGTTCAGTCCATAGCCCTTTTTCAACAAGGGAGTGGATAATCATAAAAATCTTTTTTTTTTTTTTTTTTTTAAAAGTTTAAATAACCTAATGGTACTGTGTTTAGGCTCTCTTGTCCTGTAGAACTTTAAGACTTTGTTTCAGGCTTCTGGCTGTCCTTATGACTTGCACACCTCATTGTGTTAGCTGTTCTATGTAGACTAAACTTTACTAGAATTTAACTAAAAAGGCATGATGACCACTGACTTACTAAGAGTATTAATGAGTCTTGGTTTTGTTCTACAAAACACTCCTTTCAGGTACCTTTTAAGGTTGAGAAGTAACTGATGGTATGCATGTTGTCTAGATTAAAAAAAAAAAATCTTTTTATTCTTCAAGATAGTCTTTTTATTTCTGATTATTCACGTTGTGTGCAAAGCCCAGTTTAATGTAAAGATCTACTTTGTGCTTTATGTTTGACTTGAGTTCAGTACAGTATAATGAAATGACCTTTTAACTGATTTTCACAAGGTATAAATGGTTTCTTTAGAAAAAGCCAAAACTGAAAATGTTAAATTTTAATAAACCATTTGAATTTCATTTTAGACAGTAAACTTTTTTAAGCAGTACTGTGTTTAAATTTATTGTTTGTCTCTGCTGCAAACAGTCTGGAAAGATGTCTGTGGCTTCTAAGTTGAATATTAAAGGTTACTTTTTTTTTTTTTTTAAACTAGCTTAGGTGTATATTCACTCAGTCCAAGTAGATATAAAATTGAAGCACAAACTGTATTTATGTAAGATTCCTACCAAAACAAGTTTTGGATCCAAAAGGATCAGCCTGCCTTCAGTTTGTTCTTGAAATGACTGACTGACTGATGCAAGGTCCAATTCAGATGGCTTGCTTTTAAAAAAAAACAAACCAATAAAGTGCTACAGAACTGTTACTGTTTGAATTATAAAACAAATGAGAGACAGCTGGCATCTGTTCCAAAATGGTTTGTCAGCTGTTGTTTTCTGTCATTATGCAAAATGGTGAGGGCCTCATTGTGATCGAGAAGTGGAGGCAAATCCTCTCAAGTTGAATATCTTCTGTGTATCTCCGTGTAGACGTGACTTTTGGGTATCTTGGCTTCAGTTATTTTATTGATAAAGAAATGTTAAATAAAATTTTCATGAGAGTAGCTTGTGCAGAAATGGCATTTTTCTTCTAAAAAAAGACTTCAAAACCAGCACTTATTTTGTTTGATTTGGTGAATCCTGGAAGAGGTATAGACATACGGGTTTGATTTCTCTGAAAAGGGAAATCGGTCCAAGACGAGTGTGAGTAGGTGAGGTTTATGCTTGTGGCGATTTCAGAAATGCAAAGCTTAAATTTACACGGACTTGAGTATAAGAATCACTCCCAGTCAGATCATGAAATGGATTTTGAGTATGTTCAGTTAAAATCCAAAGTGTTTCTCCAAGCGGAAGAGTCTTTTTCTGCTTTACCATTCCCTCAGAATGAGTGATGGAATACAGCGATTGCCACAATTTGATAATAAGCTTTACTCTCTTACGCCAATTCCAGTATAAACCAAATTTTCATGTCTGCCTATTTTTTATAAACTTCTGTAAGTTCCCCTTAGTTTGTGGTGGCGAGTTAATGATTGTAGAGTGAAAACATGGCACTAATGGTGGATGAAAGATCATCAATGTAGCACCTGTCTATAAGTATTGAATTTCTTCGAAATATTTCTGATTTTGAAAACCTGCTATAAATAAAATTAATTTAAATGTCTTCAGATGTTGGGTATGTTTGTGTGCTAGGCAGCACCTACACTAATCACTTTGCTGTTGTCTTTGGATTAGGAGCAGCCCAGACGCTGTGAATGGAGAGATCATGGAGTAAATGCGTGGAATATATGCATTTTTTTAATGGGTTTCTCCTACAGCGCATTTAGTTCAATACCCAGCTGTAGCAAAAGCCAGCTCTGGAGATAGGTATAAAGAAGTGCTTAGTAGGTTGGTGCTGAATAACCTTTTTCTTGTGTTGGGTCCCAGCTCATATGTTCAGAAAATTAGATGTTTTTTTAAAAAGTAGCAAAAAATATGTTTACACTGACAAGGAATTTTTAATACTCGGAACAAAGTGAGCTGATGCAGTATGAAAAAGGTGACTCCATGAAGAATGATCAAAAGATTATCCTTTTGGTATCAGTGGTATCTCTCCTGTTAATGTAAAATTTCTTGGATCTAGGAATAGCTTAACTGGAAGAGTGTTAATTTTGTAAACAAAGCTGTCAAGAAACAGCTTCCTTGGATTCTCTGGAGAAGACAGGCTTTTACACTGCAGATAAACAATCTTTTTAGTGTTTACCTAACATAAGCTTTCTATGTGGCTGTAGGGGACATATATGAGAATATGCATTAAAAATGAGTGAAAGGTCTCTTTATGAAATTAAGTATCTTTATACAAATTATTGCTTAGTTACAAACTATTCTGTTCTTACTATATTCATATCCAGTGCTTGATAGCCTATTGAATTTGGGCATTTCCCTGCCACACCCCCCATGCTGTTAAATCTACAGTAACCCCCATACATTTTACTATTCCTTGCATTGCTTATCTCTGCCATCTACTAATAATATCTGAAAAAAATACAAAAGTGAAAAATTAAAGCCTTTCATAGGAAATTCAAACAGGTAACATAATTTATGTTGTTTATCTGATGAGGTGATAGAATTTTCTTTTTATATCGTAAGGCTTACAGCAAAAATGTGTACTATTTGGAGGCACTGAAAGTAATTTTGACATGTCTTTTTAATATCTCATTGTAGGTTAATGTTTCTGTTGTCAGCTTTACTTCATAGTTACTTAGAAAACTAATGATTGGAAAAGAAACTTGAAGGTGCTGCGGATTATTTTAAGAAGTTTCCAAATATCAATTCAGATGATAAAATATATCAACTTCAATTTCCCACTGTTAGCTTAATTTTTGTTCTTGTGTGAACAGGCTTAGGAATGTGTGTGTAGCTGTAATCATGCCTTCTCCTCTTCCACCTCTTTATTTTTAAAAACAGCTGTGTCACTGCAAATCCCTACCATCTGCCCACCATCTTCTGTAAAGCTTTACGGACAATCTCCACTTGTACCTTTTAGTATCTATTTTTCCCCTCTCTTGTTTGTGATTGTAGGGATTTGATTTAGTAATATTATGCTCCTCAAAAGCTTTTCTATTATGCAGAAAGTTAAAAGCATCAGTTACTCTCTGGTGAGCACAGCTGCAGGGTATACATTGGCTTGAAAAAAGAGATGTGATTTTGAGAACCTTATTTGTGTCTGCTTCCTCTTAGTGGCAGCACTGCTTTCATCTGTGACCTCCTATTAAGGCTAATGTGAGAGCTAAGCTTTTCTTCCATTTTAGCTGTTTCATCAGAAAACTGAATGTGCATGTAGCAAACAAGGTGCAGAGAAGCAGAGGAAGGTTTAGAAGAAGCAGTTTTTCATAGAGACCTGTACATCTGGGGCGGGGGCAGGGAAAGGGTTACAGCACAGGATTTGTTTTCTTTTAATTTCAGCATGAGCTTGCAACTGTAAAGACTGAGCTTATGTTATCTTTTGCTCTGCCTGAACATACCGATTCCACAGCCTCAACTGTCTCGATGCTTTTAAACAACGAAAGGTGAACATACAGCTCTCTATTGGTGAAATTTGTTTTACTCCTATAAATATGAAGCCATGCTATAATGGGGCTTTAGGTTAGCAATATCATATAGGTGGTGCACCTAAGCTGCATTTGCACAACCCTTTAAAAATGTGTATTTTTTGATTATACCAAATACAATAATTAAGCTATTACATTGCGAGTGAGGATGATCTGGTGTAGTTCTTAATTAGGTGACTGCAAGTGACAAATATAATTTATGGTCACATTTTAGAGTCTTAGCCCTGTTATTTAAGCATGACGTAGAGATGAAACATTTCCCGGTCCACAGAATTCATTGCCTGCATAAATTCTTTTAAGAAGCAGTAGCATAATTTTAGCTCTTAGTTGACTATACTGATGCAGAATCTGTCACCTGAAGGTTTTTATTCTTCTGTGTTGGTGAATTCCTTTGTAGTGCTGCATTATTTCTCTGCATCCACACTTCAAAATC